TTAAAGGAACTCAAGAACAAAGCAGCTGAACTGCTCTGAGCAGTGTGTAACCCATGCTTACCACCACCATGGTACCTGAAGAGGGAAATGTGAATGTGATGCCAATTTTTAAAGACTTTACAAGGGATCAAGGGGTGAATGGGCAGCTTCATGGAAAAGAAATCTACAGACGGTGATTAATAGACAGAAACCACATCCAGTCAGGAAGTCCCTGACCTGAAAATGTTTGAAGACTGGATGCATATCAAGCATAAATTAAGTATGATATGTTTGTCCTGTTCATCTTGAGCTGTCCTTGAGAAGGAGAGAGGAGGAGGCAAGAGGAAGAGAAATTGGGGAGAAATCAAATGCTTATGGTGAGGAACAAGTGAAGAGGGGGAGAGGAGAAGGCGAAAACATAAACCAGAAACTTAAGAGAGGTCACAGAGCACAGCATCTGCAACAGTACACACTGCTTCCTGAGGGCGTCTGAGGGTGCCAGGTGGTGGATGATCCCTGTGATCCTCTGCATAGAGGAATAGAAATAGACTGTGCAATCACCAGGAACACACCTGCAATCAAACATCCTCCTCCTGGGGCTGCAGATGGCCAGGGGTAGGTGGTGGAAGAGGTTCTGGGACTTGTTTGGGATTCAGATGGAGATAGCATGAATAAAAAGATGAGAGGTAAGCACAGTTTGACTCTAAGAGGGTCTGGAGGAATTAGAAGAAGGCCTGAGCCTGGCAGGCTGACCTAGGAGGAGAAGCATGTTTTTGCAGTGGGTAGGAGCTGGACTGATTTAGCATGAGCTGGCAGATCTTTAAGGATGTGATCCACAGAGCACAAGAGCTCTCGATCGCTAGGTGTAAGAAATCGGGCAAAGAAGGGAAGAGACCGGCATGGCTGAGACAAGAGATGCTGGTCAAACTAAGGAGGAAGAGGGAACTGCACAGGCAGTGGAAGCAGGGACAGGCATCCTGGGAAGAGCATAGGGACGCTGCCCGGTTGTGTAGGAATGGGGTCAGGAAGGCCAAGGCGTAGCTGGAGCTAAACTTGGCTAGGGATGCAAAGAATAATAAGAAGGGTTTCTACAAGTATATCAGCTGGAAAAGGATGGTTAAAGAAAGCGTACCCCTGCTGATGAGCGAGACCGGCAAGCTGGTAACAGCAGATGAGGAGAAGGCTGAGGTACTC